CTGCCCCTGAGCGTGGCTCTCCTGACAGTCACTGAGCGGCCTCCCACCGGCTCTCCCCACCCTGCTCTCTGGCCCCAGAGGCAGCCGGAAGTGGCCTGCTCAAGCCCTGTCAGACCCTGGCCTGAGGGTCCTGCCTGCCCCTCCACACCAAGCTTCCCACCACCCACCGCCCCCCACCTCTGCTCACAGGCTGCCTGGAAAGCCCATCCCAGATACCCCCGTACTCCCACCTCAGGGCCCTCCCAGACCTTCTACCTGACTCCCAGCGCCCCTGCTCCCGCCATAGACCCCTCTCCTGTGCAATGTTCTCCCCAGTGTGTGTGGCTGCCAAACAGACTATATACTCTTTACCCACTGATCTTGGCATTGATCTAGGCACCTCCGAACTCATACATTAAACACAATGTAAGCCCCAGGGCAGGGACTCCGCATTCTGTAGCAGCTTCAGCCTCGAGCCCAGCACGCCCAGCACGCAGTGGGGCACACAGTTGGGGTTGACCGCTACTGCGTGAACAAATGCCTGGAGGAGCCCTGGGCCCAGCCCTGCCTCCACCACACTGTGCCATCTGGGCAGCTCCTGCCTCTCCCTGAGCCCTGAGCCCGGGTCTGCCACCCACAGAACAGGGTCTCAGGGCTGCAGGGCCCTCTGCATGCCCGGGTGTGGCCCTGCCAATCCAATACAGGTGGCCCCCAGACCAAACCTCCCATTGCCCACCTGCCCCTCCACCTCCAGCGGGAACTCAGATGCCCCCGAGGAGGGGGCTCCCGGAGCCAGGGAGGTGCCTTACCTGCCGGAGGAGGGTGCAGTTGACGCTCGGTGACCGCAGGGATGCCCAGGAGCCCTGCAGGGCGATCTTGGGGAGGGCCCCGGCCCCGGTGCCCTTCTCCTGCCCCTTCTGGCTGGAGGACACGGCGGGGTGGAAGAACTCCGCTGGCATGGGCAGGAGTGGGCTGGAGGCCTCTGGGGAGAAGGGGCTCGAAGGTGCCGCTGGGGAGGGAGGAGAGGGAGCTGGGGAGCAGGCTCAGGCTGGCGGGTCCCTGGGGGTGGGCTGGTGGGGCCGGGGCTGTGAGACTATGGGCACATCTCCCTCTCTCAGCCTCAGTGTCCTCACTGTGAGAGCAAGAGAGAACAGCGAGCCTGCCCGCGTGATTCCTGGGAGGACAGGCACCAGGCAAAGGCACAGCTTCTGGAGCCAAGTGGACTCGGCGCCAAGACCCCTGGGTTCCTGCCTCTGTGAAAGGGGGACCAGCTGCTCCCGTGAGGGGTGGAGAGGAGGTTGTCAGATCAGAGGTTCCCAGCCCAGTCCCAGGAGCACAGCAGACATTATGAGTGCCACCCCCAGGCTGGCCGGACCCCGTGGCGTGTCAGGCCCTGGGGCCTGTCTAGGACAGCAGGCAGGTGGGCACTGCACTGCATGGGCTGAGCACACAGATGCTGCTGGGTCTGCCTGGTCT